TCGGCAGGAAGGAAGAGCTGGCCGGGGTTTGATTATAGCAGATTTAAGTCAGTGGGCTGCCTGCATAACCCCAGCACCAGGAGCGCCCCCCCAGCCTTTCCTCGCATGGCATCCTGGCCTGTGCAAGGCTCCCCAGGCATCGTGAGCGTGCAAACGGCACTGGGAGACGGCAGCTTCACAGCCCTCTCTGCTTTCCGTTCAACCCGACTCCCCAAAGCCGCCTTCCCTGTCTGCTGAATAAGCAACCGCCCTGGCTCACCGACAGAGGGAAAGGGGATCGGGGTGTACATGTTCAAAGGGAAAAGAAAGGCAGAGGCTTGCAGAGAGAGGAGCCCTTGCTCAGAAATGCTGCCCAGAGCTGGGTAATGAAGGAGGGCAGCGCAGCAGCCACAGCCTGACGTGTTTCAGCAGCTACAATTGCCCCCCACCCCACAGAAACTGCTGCAGACTAGGATTGGGACAGCTCAAGTGGAAATCATAGAATCATGGAATCGTTGGGTTGGAAAAGCCGTTTAAGATCCCCCAGCCCAACCGTTCCCCTACCCCTGCCATCCCACCCCCAAACCCTGGCCCTCAGCACCACCTCTGCCCGGCTGTTAAATCCCCCCAGGGCTGGGGACTCGACCCCTTCCCTGGGCAGCCCCTTCCAGCCCCTGACAGCCCCAAGGGGAAGGAATTGTTCCCCATGCCCAACCTCACCCTGCCCTGGCACAACTTGAGGCCGGTGCCCCTCGTCCCATCGCCCCTTCCCTGGGAGCAGAGCCCGACCCCCCCGGCTCCCCCCTCCTCTCAGGCAGTTGTAGGGAGCGATGAGGGCTCCCCTCAGCCTCCTCTGCTCCAGGCTGAACCCCCCCAGCTCCCCCAGCCGCTCCCCAGCAGCCTGGGGCTCCAGACCCCTCCCCAGCTCCGGTGCCCTTCTCTGGACACGCTCCAGCCCCCCCAGGTCCTTTTCTGCCAAGCAGTTTTCCAGCCCCTCATCCCCACGCCTGTAGCATGCATGGGGTGAAATGAAGCGTGGGCTCTAGGTTCACGTGCAGCAACCACGCAGGTGGAGTTTGCTGCGGTGTTTGTCCTGCTTGGGGGCACCGTGCTGCGCCCCAGGAACGCGTGGAGAATTACCGTGCAGTCGATCCTAACGGCCTCGCAGAGACATTCTTCACATTTGGAGAAATCTTCCTTCAGCAAGTAAGTCTGGGCCAGCGCCAGGTAGTACGCGCAGGAGGGACCTCCCTGAAGGCTCAGCAGCTCGTGGGCAAGCGCCATGTGAACAAACTGCGGAGGAACGGCACGCCGGCACGGTTAGGAGAGCCGGCGGACCACGGGCACCCCCAGAAGCACACGGCAGGAGGAACTGACTTGCACCTATTTGGCATCCATGAACAGAAAACAGGAGATTTTTTTTTTTTTCCCCTCCTATGAATTTACCTCCACTGCTTCTAGTTCTGTTTGGCTTTAAGCAACTCCTTCTGCCATGGGAAATTAAGGCAGGCAGGATTATGTGGCAGTCAGAGAGATCCCATAGAGACGTGTGGGACAGGGGTGTTCCACAGGTGACACAAAATCTACTTGGACGTACACAAGTGTCTGGAACAAGAAAGCAGTACTGGCGTCTTGGAAGCGTCACAGAACACCTCAGAACATCGGAACATCTCCGAATGTGCAGAGAAGAGCACATCTGCAGCATTTGCGACTTGGCTGCTCCCTCCGCAGCAAGCAGTGCTGAGCTGAGGCACCCCGAGAACCTCGCCTGCCCGAGATGACTTGTGTCCCCCAACCAGCATCTTAGTCTGAATACTCCGCCTGGCCACGGTTTTGCATTTCTGGGCAGTAGTGGTTTCGCTCCCTCTTGTGCTCGGCATCTGGGGTAGCCACAGCTTGTTCTCCGAGTCCAAAAAGGGGCCTTTGCTGGAGCTTGGCACCAGCTCTTTGGTA